GGTATTCTTGTACATATAAGACGGTCAAGACGTGACGGCAACAATGTAATTGAACTGCGGACAGAGAGAGACGTATTGTTGAGTCGCTCACGTGAGTCGTTCGTTGTGAATTATAGCGTGACTGTGAAAATTAAGTGTTTTGCAAAGTTGTATTCAGAAAGAATAAACCAGTTTTATTTAAGAAAGGACTAGTATCGCTAAAGTTTCTTCGGAAATAAATTATACAGAAAATTAACTAACGACCAGAGATGTAACAATATGTTAGTATTTTCTGTGGTTATATTGTGTTTATTTGAGATATAATGTTGAAAAAGATGGGAGTGATTTTTTTGTGTTGTTGTTCATTGAACCTAGTTTCCACTTTTCGGTTAGTTTCACCGACATATGTCTGTTTGTTTGTACTTACGCGCAAAGCTACACAAACGGCTATCTGTGCTCTACCCACCACGAGTATCGAAACCCGGTTTCTAGCGTTTTAAATCCGCAGACATGCCGCTGTGCCACTGGGAGGCTCACAGATATAGAAATTTTAGTAGTTATTGCACAGGGTTTTATAAAAAAAACACGTTAGTATTGTGTTTGTCAGAGTAGTTTTTACATAGTATATTTTTCAATTTGGCACCTAGTTTTTAAATGAACCTAGTGTTTACTGGAATGTTGTGTTTGATTTTTTTTTTCAAATGTTAGCTATTTTGTCACTGATATCTGGAATGTAAGGTTTGCAGCAGTGTAGTGTTTTGTTGTTCGGTGTTTCAATGACTTTTGGATTGTTGGTTGGCTGTCCATTATGTTGTTGCTTGTGGTTTGGGTGAATAATTCTTTCGACAGTTTTTGTATGAAATTTATTTATGTTGATGAAATCTTGTTTTAGTTGACTGACTTCGTCATTAAGGTTGTGAGTTAAGCAAAGTTTTGTGGCTGTGTTTATTAGGTTTTCAAGTATGTTGAGTTTTTTTTGTTTTGTTTTATGTGCCGAGTTCCAGGATTTTTGTTTTAAACTGTGTATCTGTTATTCTAATATTGAGTTTCAGAAATGTTTGTAGTTTGTATTTTTCATATTCACTGGTGAACTTAATATTACAATCTTACACATATCATTACGTATTGTCGTACCCACGACAAGTGATCAATAACGCAGTCATTTTTTAAATCTCATTCTTAATCTGATGATGACTTAAATTAAGGAGGTCGAAACTTTATTACTTGTTTTGTGTTTTTAAATAAAGGTTTTAATACCTATATCAACCGTTTCTACTCTCTATATATTTATTTTCAAGTGGATTCCTCGTCATCATCAACAATTTGTAAGAATAATAATATTTATTGCGGAAAAGATATATGTTTCGACATTACTTTGACTTCACTTCTTCAGGTATGATATAAAACTCAAAATACAATGTTTATATACAAGGAATGCTATCATATGAGAGCGTTGAAAATTTACAAACAAGGTTTTGTACTATGCAGGCATATCATGTTTTCTACGTACCTGCTTTTCGTAATGTAAGAATTTAATTTTTTTTCGTTTATCTAGTTTCTGTGTGCTTGTAGCAAAAACGTGTAGTTCAGATGCTTTGTATATTTGTTCTGTATAGCAAATAGTATATATTTTGCCAGATGAGATTTTGTGGATTACTTTGCATAAAGTGTTAGTAGGATCAATGGCTGAAATCTTTTGCTGGCTGAGTGGATGATGTTTGTATGTTATGACCAATGAATGCTGCAAGAACAACAGTTACGTGGTGACACCTTCGCAATAGAAAGAATTCGAGTTTTTGATTGAAGCAATTATTCGTTCTCAGATCATGACCAAAGATTCACCTTGAGAGGCAGAAAACTGACGATCTGTTCAATGATTCTGTAGAAGTAGTTGCCCACTTGTTTGTGCAAGTACGATGCTGCATTTTCTTTTTGCTTGATTGCAATAAAAATTATATTCATTATTCTCTAACTTGTCTAGTCTTTTCGTTTTTGACACAGAAAACCGAGTCAAGTTTCAGATTAAATTCACGTCATAATTTTCTGGTCGACTCTGCTGTTATAAGTGAATCTATTTAATACTGGTGTAGATATCAACTGCACCTGAAAACACCACAGCTTGTAATTTAATAAGGATTTTTTAAGGGCTGGTAAAGCGTGGGAAAGAATACTAAGTTTGTTAATATAATCCTAGGACCACTGTCACGTTTTCGAACTAAATCGCTTACTTTTATGATTTTAATAGTTCATAAACAATCACGTAATTTTTTATTTGGGGTTGTGTGTGTGTGTGTGTGTGTGTGTGATGAAGAAGAGATATTTCATAGTAAAGTATCATACTATCAAATTCGAAATAGCGACATGTTAGAACATTTTTTTTAAATCTTTATTATACAAGATACCTTGGTGTTCTCTGCTTCGATTTTCAAAGTACAGGAGGTTTGTTCGATATATATATTTTACCACATACACGAGAAACCATATAAACTCTGTTTTTGTTTTTTATGCAGTACTTATTTCAAGTTACTACATAAGACGCCTATCTTATGAGAAGGTTTAAATATGATTCTTACATAATTTTTTAAGTTACAAGTGAACGGGTTATTTTTATGGCAATTTCAAACACAAAAGGAAATTAAAGGAACTTTACAAGCTTTTTTTATATTGTTACTGATAAGGGAAAGATTAGAATTATCACATAGTTTTATGGTCTATAAGTTTAGTTAAAGTTTTCTATCTATGACATTATGGTTAAAACTTTTAGATATCACTACATTCTCCATGTAATTACGTTCAAGTTGTAGGTCCTCATTTTGAGTACAAAAATGTAAAGAGGTATTATACAAATTAAGAAAGGCAATAGTAGGTTTAAACACTAAATTTTGTGTGAAAATGTAGATGTTTTTAAAAAGAGAAGTTAAAATGTTTGATAATAATAATAGGCAGTTGATATCATTCATTCATTCATTAATAAGTTTGTAATCTTCATTGTTTTTATAGCGAGTTTGTTGGTAAATTACCTTTACCAATGTTTTAACAATGAAGTTTGCCAAACTGATTGAAGGGCTCAGTCTTAAGATCTTTGCTCTTTTTGATTTACATTAATGACGTAGATGAAGGAATGGTTAATAAATTACTTAAATTTGCTGATGATATTAATATCTTGGGTGTTGATAGTTGTGAGGAGGATGCTGCTGCTGCTTTACAGAAGGATTTAGATCATTTAGTGAGTTGGGCAAATAAATGGCAGATGGGTTTTAA